ATGCTTGATATGATTTCAGTCTTCTTAAATTTATTGAAGCTTGCATTGTTTCCCAACATATGGTCCATCTTTGAGGATGTTCCATGTGTACTTGAGAAGAAGGTGTATTCTGCTGTCATTGGATGGAATGTTCTATATATATCTATTAAGTCCATCTGGTCTAGTGTTTCATTTAAGGCCACTGTTTCCTTGTTGACTTTCTGTCTGGATGATCTATCCATTGATGTAAGTGGGGTGTTGAGGTCCCCTACTATTATTGTGTTGCTATCAATTTCTCCCTTTTGGTCTGTTATTAGTTGCTTTATATACCTAGGTGCTTCTCTGTTAGGTGCATATATATTCATAATTGTTATGTCTTCTTGGTGGAATGTCCTTTTTATCATTATATACTGCCTCTCTTTGTCTCTCCTTGTCTTTTTTATCTTGAAGTCTACTTTGTCTGATAAAAATATGGCAATGCCTGCTTTCTTTTGCTTGCCATTTGCTTGGAGTATCCCCTTCCATCCCTTTGCTCTGAGCCTATCCTTGTCTTTACAGCTGAGATGTGTTTCCTGGAGGCAGCGTATTGTGGGGTCTTATTTTTTAATCCATCCAGCCACTCTGTGTCTTTTAATTGGAGAATTCAATCCATTTACATTTAGAGTGATTATTTATATATGAGGGCTTAATACTGCCATTTTATCTCTTGTTTTCGGGTTGTTCTATATTTCCATTGTTTCTCTTCCCTTGTATTTCTGATTGCCGTTTCAGTTTGGTGGTTTTCTATGATGGTTTTCTCTTTATTTATGATTTTTCGCTCTATTGTGATTCTTTGTTTAGTGGTTACCATGAGCTTTGTATAAAAGATCTGATAGATGAGATAGTCCATTTTCTGATAGCCTCTTATCTCTATTAGCCTAAGCAGGTTCCATCCCTTTCCTCTTCCCCTTCTGAGTTATTCTTGTGACAAATTCTTCTTTTTTGTGTTGTGAGTTTGTGACTAAATTGAAGTGTTTATAGTTATTTTTGATGCTTTCCTTCCCTTTATCTTTTATGTTGTAATTAAATGTTTGCTAACCTGTTCTGATAGAGAGCTGCAGTTTTTTAATTTTATCTGTCTATTTATATCCTTGCTCAAAGCTTTGTAAACCTTTGCCTTTTTCCTCCTTCAGGTAGGAGGCCTTTCTTCATCATGTCTTGTAAGGGAAGTTTAGTGGCAATGAACTCCCTCAGCTTTTGTCTGTCTGTGAAAGCTTTTATTTCTCCATCATATCTGATGTATAGTTTCACTGGAGAGAGTATTCTTGGCTGAAAGTTTTTGTCTTTCAGTGTTTTGAATATATTATTCCACTCTCTCCTAGCCTGTAAGGTTTCTGCTGAGAAATCCGCTGAAAGCCTGATAGGGGTTCCTTGATAGGTTATTTTCTTCTGCCTTGCTACACTTAGTATTTTTTTCTTTGTCATTGACTTTTGCCAGTTTTACTATTAAATGCCTTGGATTTAATAGTAACATCTTTTTATGTTGATGTAATTAGAGTTCTATTGGCTTCATGTACTTTTAAGTTCCTTCCCCAAGTTTGGGAAGTTCTCAGCTATTATTTCTTGAACAAGCTCTCTGCTTTCTCCCGCTCTTCTTCCTCTGGAATACTTATGTTGCTTTTTCTAATTGAGTTAGATGTTTCTCAAAGAATTTCTTCATTTTTTAAAAACCTTAGTTCTCTTTCCTCCTCTACTTGAAGCATTTCTGTATTTTTGTCCTCTAATTCACCAATTCTGTCCTGTATAACATGAGCTCTATTTTTTATGATTTCTGGATTATTTTTTATCTCATTAATTGTGTTCTTCATATCTAGAATTTCTGTTTGTTTGTTTGTTTTTTTTTTTTTGTAGAGTTTCAGTCTCTTTGGTGAAGAATTCCTTCTGCTTGTTAATTTTATTCTGGAGCTCCTTGAACTGTCTTTCTGAGTTTTTTTTGTAACTCATCGAGTTTCTTTATGACTACTATTTTGAATTCTCTGTCATTTAGATTGTAAATTTCTGTGACTTCAGGATTGGTTTCTAGAGACTTGTCATTTTCCTTCTGCTCTGAAGTGTTACTGTAGTTCTTCATGTTGTTTGATGAATTGATCCTTTGCTTGTGCATTTTTGGTAGTATCAAATTGCAGATTCCATCTGCCACTGCTTGGCAAGAGCAGGAGCTGTGTTTTCTGATCCCACTCCATCTGCTGGAAGTTGTGCAGGTTCAGGCTATTCTGTGTTTACCTGGGCTGACCGCAGCCTCTCTGAAGGTTGTGCTCACCCGGGCAGAGCCTCTGTGCTGGGCGAGTGGGTTGGGCACTGTGGGCGGGGCCTCTGTGCTCAGCAGGGGACTGGCTGAGCTGCTGTGTGCTAGGCAGGAGGGGCGCCTATGCGAGGGCTATGCTGCCACTCAGTGGATCCTGTGCACTGCTGTCCTCTGTGGGTGGGGTGCCTTTTGAGCAGCCAGGGCACTTTCTCACCTGCACTGCACTAGGAGGGAGGGGCGCCCACACAAGGGTTGAGCCACCAGTTGGCGGGTCCCACAGGTTGCTGTGCTCTGCGGATGGAGGCACCTTCTGAGCAGGGACGGCACCTTCTCACCTGTGCTCTGCTCAGTAGAAGCATGCCTTCATGGGGGCTGAGCTACCACCACTTGGAGTAGAGCATTCCCACCAGTGGGTCTGTCACAGCACAGTGGTTGCTCCCATGAGTGGGCACTCCCATAGGCCAGGCTGCAACTCTGAGAGCATTCACACAGGCTGAGCTGTCTCCACCTCCTGTTACAGTCGTGCTGGCCACTGTGTGAGGATCCGCAACCTGGCTCACTGCCACCAGGGAGGGGTTCGCTCACCTAGTTCCACTGCCTCCCAGAGATCCAGTCCTCCCACCTTCAGATATATAGCTGCATGGATCTCTCAGACATACTATTCTGCTGTGCAGGGAGTTATCTGCTGGTTAATGAATGTCCATTTAGTTGTAACTTAAAGAGGAGAGACTAAGAGAACAACTCACTTCACCATTATGCTGACGTCACTACCTCCAAAACTTTTTGAAAGAGTTGTTTAAGCTAGCTGGCTTCCTTTCCCTACCTCTCCTTTGTGTCTCACTCCCCCAATCAATCTAACGTCCTATGACTGTGTTAAAACAGCCCATCCTCTGGTTGTCACTGATTCCCGTGTAGTTAACTCCAATGCATTTTCTTGATTTCTATGTCAATGAGATATAGAATACACTCTAGAATAAAACAGGAAACAGATTTATTAAGGGCTTTTAGGTAGCTCACAGATTTCTAAGACGGTCAGGGAAGACTGGCTTTGTTGCTAAGCATTCAGGAGCAAGGCCCAGTGGGGCAGCTGTAGAGAAAACACCACTGCTACTTCTGTTTAGCATTGATAAAGCTCCAGACTGGGTGATGGAAGCTCTGCTATTCCCATCCTTGAGTAGCCAAACCCTTCTACCACCCTGTGTGCCAGAAGACCTATTCTCTCCAATGTGGCCATCTCCTCCCTCTGCTAATTGAATGAACTAGTCATTCATTCAAATTCCAGGGAGTTATTCATCACTACATTCTCACAACCCAAGATCACACATCATGCCTGAATATTATGTATCAATACTGCCAACATTCCTATTTCATGATAATGAGGTTTATAGTGATATTTTCAGTATTTGTGCATGCATGTGTGTATGTGTCTTCAAAAATAAACCCTTTATCTGGAAAGCTATATTAAAGTTTTTAATATGGTAAAACTAACATTGTCTCCTCAAGATTAGCATACGATTTTATAGTTTGCAGCATCAACAAATTCAAGCAATTTTAGCTTACAATCTCAAATTTTTCCTTGTTAAAATACAGCTCTTTTGGTTTCAATTTAATTCATGTTATAACAGTTCTTACATTTCAGTTCCAAGATCTAAGCCATGAAGTGATATTTACTGATTCTGTTTCTTGTTTGTTTCTCCTTCCCTCTTGTCTCATCAGTATTGTCCAAGAATTAATGAATTGTTTCCATCAAAGATGAGTACTAATGACCTTATTTCCATAAAAACAGACTCATCACTCTGCCAGCTTTTCCTTCTGCAAGCTTGCCTGTAGGAAATGATCCATTAGTTAAAAATTTAAAAGAAATTAAAAATGTTTGTCTCCCATAAATCGGGCTATGGCATAGACCTTAATCTGTTTCAGCATTTTCCCAAAGAGAATTTTTTTACAAATCTCTGATGGCAGCTATAATAACTATTTTTTAATCTATCCCCTAAAAACTATTGAAGAAAACTAGCTTTCTTACTCTCATAAGATATTCTTTGTAAATGAGACACAAATGTTTTCTCACCATTGGAATTCAGATAAATATTTAATTAGAGATACGAGAGAGTTCCATGAAGGAGGTAACTTTTCAGATAAAGAACTGCAGAAATCTGCTTAGGGTATTCTTCAGTCCCTGATGGTGATGCTGATGCTGATGCTGATGATGATGATGCTGATGCCGCTGCTGCTGCTGATGATCATGATGATATGAACAGAGCCTGAGTGTCAAGCTATGTAATATGTATGTAACTGGAGTTCCAGAGTTTGAGAGGAGACAGTGCACAAAAAATATTTGAAGAAATAATAGCTAACAGTTTTCCAAAGTTGATGAATTCTGTAAACTCACAGTTCCAACAAGTTTGGTGAAGCTCAAGCAAGATAAACCACACCAATAAACATTATGATAATATAAAAAACAGTAATAAATAGAAATCCTAACAGCAGCCAGACCATGCAGACACACAAGGTACAGACAAATAATGGTAAATATGACTACAAACTTCTCTTAAACACTATTCAAGCCAGAAGATAATGGAGTGACATTTTAAATTCATTGAATGCTAGGGTGCTGAATTCTAGGGTGCTGAAACAGTCACCCTAGAATTTTTACACCCCCCAATCTATCTTCCAAGATAAACATCTAAATAAAAATTTTATCTGGTCACCAATAACTGAGAATATTTGTGCCAAACAGAACTGTACTACATGAAATATTAGAGGAAGTTATTCATCCAGAAAGAAAATGATACCATGTGGAAACAGAACTGCACGAAGAAGTGAAGTCGGCCAGACATGGTAAATATGTGGGTAAATATGAAATATTTCTTTTCTTGTTTTTCATTTTCTTTCAATATTTATTGATTGGTTCAAGAAAAAATAATAACAATGTATCATGGGGTTTATAACCTATGTAAAAAAAATGTATAACAATAATAATACAAAGAACTAAGGCATGTGTAATGGAAGTATACTCAAGGGAGAAGAAAGGAGAAAGAAGAGATGAGACAAATAGAAAACAGAGGAATATGGTAGACTTAACACTAACCGTGTCAATAACCACTTTAAATATAAATGGCCTAAACGTTCCACTTAAAAGGCAGATATCCTCAGACTGCGTAACAAAGTAAGACCCGACTATATATATTACCTATAAAAAATCTCACTTTAAATATAAAGGTGCAAATAGGTAAAGAGGAAAAGGATAAACAAGGATATACTGTCAAATAAAGAATCATAAAAAATCTGGAGGAGCTATGTTAGTATCAAAGACCTAGACTTCAGAATAAAGAGTATAACCAGGAATAAAAACGGACATTTCATCAAGAAGAAATGACAATGATAAATATGTATTCACACAGTAAGAGGGCTGCAAAATACCCCAAGCAGAAACTAATAGAACTGGCAGAAGAAATAGAAAAAATTGACAATAATAGTTGGAGATCTCAAAATTCCTTTGTGAGTAATTGGTAGAACAAATAGAGAATTAGGAAAGATATAGAAAACTTGATATTTTTAAAAAACCGGTAGATTTTTATAAAGTAGTAGTGGTGATTATGTTTACCCCACACTCTGCTCCTTAAACAGTACGTAAGCTTACTTACTAAGCACTTACTAAGCAATGCAGATGCTAGTGGTACTTACTAAACTATACAGATGATATACACAATATTTCTCCAGTGGTCGATTGAAAAAGGTTCTAAAAGTATGGTTGCATATTTTTCTCATGAGCTTCACCTTCCTTGTTACCAAACTATTTTGTATAAAATTATAATAAAAATATTTTAAAATTCTGAACACTGAATACATTAGTTAACACCCTTTATGATGTCAATTAATGGTTATTTTAGGTAATGGAAAATGTACAGATCTCCCCAAAACAACTCCATCAAATATTTTCTTCTCTCTTCCCAAGTGGTACTTTGACCTAACTTGGCAGGAAAACTCCCCACTTCTTGTCCCTATTACTCATCTAAGGAATAATTTTACTTGTAAATAGCTACAATTTAGTTTTTGTTGTTAGTGATAATTTTCTTCTCTTTAATTTTCACTGCAGCTGTTTAATTATGAAATTTTAAAACATGCAGAAAGATGTAGCATTTGAAAGGCTGCAGATGTCATGGAACCTGATGTCTAAGTTATTTCAGTGTACATCACCAAAGAATAAGCATGGTCTCCTACTTACTCACAATACCATTATCACACGTAGTCAAATTAACAATAATTCTATAGTATCATCTAATATCCAGAGTCTACTGAAGTTTCCCCAATTGTCCCAAGAATTATTTACAGCCATTTTTTTCCCCAACCGGATTTAATCCAAACTTGTGCATCACATTTAGTACTATTTCTCTAATCCCTTTTAATCTAGAACAATCCCCCTACATTTTCCCCCATAGTAATGATTTTGCAAGGAGCTCAGGAGAGTTGTATTTTAGAATTTCCTGTATTTTGGATTTGACTTATTGTTTCTTCTTGGTGTCATTTAACTTGTTGCTCTGTCTTCTTTATTTCTGTAACCTGAAAGTTGGGTCTAGAGACTTGATATTCAAGTGAAATACTTCCTGGGAAGAGTAGTAGATGGCTGAGTATTCCATGTTGTACTTCATACTGCATCAATTACAAGGTACACGATGTCAGGTGGTCCCCCATTCGTGATGCTTGCTGAAAGTGGTTACTGAAACATCTCTTCACTAAGCAAGTACATTTTTTTGCAGTAGTAGTAAAGATTCGGTGATATTTCAGCCCCATACAAAGGTTTTGTTCCCAGGTTTTTATGTTATGGTTTCAGGGTTCATTGGCTATTATTGACTAAATCAATTCCTTTTTTTTTTCTTTTTTTTTAAATTTATTTGTTTATTGTGGTAACATTGGTTTATAACATTGTATAAATTTCAGGTATACATCATTATACTTCTATTTCTGCATAGATTACATCATGTTCACCACTCAAATACTAATTACAACCCATCACCACACACATGTGCCGAATTATCCCTTTCGCTCTCCTCCCTCCCCCCTTCCCCTCTGGTAACCACCGATCCAATCTCTGTCCCTATGTGACTGTTTGTTGTTGTTTTTATCTTCTACTTATGAGTGAGATCATATGGTATTTGACCTTCTCCCTCTGACTTATTTCACTTTGCATAATACCCTCAATGTCCATCCATATTGTCACAAATGGCTGGATTTCATTGTTTCTTATGGCTGAGTAGTACTCCATTGTGTATATATACCACAGCTTCTTTATCCATTCGTCCCTTGATGGGCACTTAGGTTGCTTCCAAGTCTTGGCTATTGTGAATAGTGCTGCAGTGAACACAGGGGTGCATGTATCTTTATGCATTGGTGTTTTCAAGTTCTTTGCATAAATACCCAGCAGAGGAATAGCTGGATCGTATGCTAGTTCTATCCTTAATTTTTTGAGGAATCTCCATACTGTTTTCCATAGTGGCTGCATAATTGGGGAAACACAATGATTTTCTAATTCTATCATTCCTAGTACATTTGTTAGCTGGCATTCTTCTGTAAAAAGGAGCTTCATGCCCCCTTTTTAGTATTACTATGGACATGAATTTTTATTTATTGTTTGTTAAAATAAAATGCATGCATTATTTTTCAGACGTTTAAATTAATCTAACTTTGGCCAATGGGAGCCTTTTCAAACTGACTCCTCTTGCTTTTTATGTGAACTCATTGCTCCTGAAGCATTTCCTTAGGATTATCTTAGGATTTTCCTACATCAGACCTGGAATCACCATTTCTCCACAGAATTCTGGTTCCTTTTTGTAGGGCATAATGTTTGTAACCCAGGATCTGGATGCTACGTATGTTTATTGCTACTGGGGTGTCATTGCTTCTGAGGCTTTTCAGTGGAAAGAGCAAGGAAATATATTTTAAAAATCATGAAGTCATGTGACTAATTCCAATTCAGTTGCAATATTATAATTTTTCTTAACTTATATCTCTACTCCTTTTCTCTTAGATTGAATGTTTTTGTTTTTAATAATACTATTATTTTACGTTTATTTATTTGTTTATATATTTGTGTTATCTTATATGTGTGTATAATAGTTTCATAATGACCATACTAATATTACTGCTAACAGAAAGCCTACTGAGAGAAGTTTCAGATTTCTTTGCTTATATCTCACCAAGGATGTACATAGTCAGAGTGTGGTGTTTAAAAATTACTTCAGTGAATTCTTTGGTCTGTGGTTATATTATTTACTATGCTATTAGGTTTATTTGCTTATGTTTAGGTTCAATTTCAGAATTTTTTAAATTTTATTTCTTGAACATGAAAAACATGGTTCAAAAGTCAAAACTACGTAAAAAGTTATACTCTGAGAAATTTTCTAATTGTCCCTATTTCCTCTACTCATTTCCTACCCACCCACTAATGTAACTACTATCATTATCTGGTTTATCCTTTTTGTGTCATTTTCTTTGGTAAAAGTAAACTAATATGTATATGTGTGTATGTGTATATGTGACACACACATACACTCGTACATATTCTATTTCCTTTCTTTTATTTTTATAGACATACAAAACCCATTATTCTGTCCTTTTCTTTCCTCATTTCACAAAATGTGCTGGAAATTATTCCATATCAGTCATAGACATATTTCTCAATTTTTACAGGTGCATAGTTTTCCATTTTATAGTTGTGCCCTCGAGGGAGTTTTCTTAGGTTCTCCTAGCCATTCAGACTCAGGAGACTATCAGTTTACTTAGAAGGATAAAAGACAGACACCCTAAGGGCAGCATCAGCGTTGCTCTCAGCAGGAAGCCATGTGACAGTCCATGTTGGTGACAGCCCACAAGGCACTTCAGGGGCTCTTCTCCCTAGGTGACACATCTCAGGTGCAAGGAGATGAGATCCATAGCAGACAGGGTGGGAGTAGGGATTGGGGGGAGGGTGGAGAGGCACTCTAGCTCTCACAGGAGCCAGGATCTCTTGTAACAGTTCGTAGGCATTGTTTTCAGGGTCTCCACAAGGCATTAGCCTAGTTACGAAAGTCACCACCCTCAGTAAAGGTATTTATAATTTATTTACAATTCCCTCCAGTCCAGATGTAATTTACCAGTCAGGGGTCTTTTTTATCAGAGGCAATATTGGTGGGATGTAGTTGATATTCTACTTTTATCAAGTTGTCAGGAATACAGTGTTAGACAGTTAGCCAAAAGTTAAATCCTCATGCAGAAGGGAAGAGGGTTTGGCTACCACTTTACCCACAAAACATATCATAGTTTATTCAACCAGCCCCCACATTCATGAACATTTTGGTTGTTTCCAGTCTTTTATTACTATAAATTATGTTGTAATGTATAAACACATGCATGTGCTGGTTCATATTTATAGAGATGAATCTTCACTGTACATTCTTGGAAGTGAGATTGGCTAGTTCAAAGGATAAATGCATGTGTACTTTTGTTAGATATTGCCAAATTCCCCTCCATAAGGGTTAAACAATTTTGTTTCCCCTCCTGTAGTATATGGCAAGTAGCTCTTTCTCCACAGCGTTTCTGACAGGATACATTGTCAAGCTTTTGATTCAAAAATCTGATATTTGAGAAGTGGTATATATCAATGTAATATAATTTGTATTAATTTTGTTACACATAAGGTTAAACTTTGTTTTCTTATGTTTAAGTGCAATTATATAATTTGTTTTGTGTGTGTGTGAGGAAGATTCACCCTGAGCTAACTACGTTGCCAATCTTCCTCTTTTTTTTTTTTTTTTTTTGAGGGAAGATTAGCCCTGAGCTAACATCTGTGCCGGTCTTCCTCT